ATATTGCTGCTACTAACCACAAAACGACGTTCAATGTCTACCTTACATCCATTTGTTTGCTCAACTATTCATCGAAAAGGCCAGTGCGAACCAATATTGCTGTACTGTTACTTTGATTTAAGAAAAACTTGATTTCAAGTTCCAAATTTAATGTATTTTGCAATTAACTTCGCCTTACTAGGGTAGATTACCTTCAGCTAATCATAATCTCTCTCAGTGGTTAGCTAGCCAGCTATTTGTGAATTGTGGGGCTAACAGGACATTGCAACGCTTATCCTTCGTTGGCTGAGAAGTCGGAACTAAGCGGAGGTGAGTGATGAAATAATGTTAGGATTGCAGCGGGATGATATATTCGTTTTGTGGCAGCAGGCACTTGTGTGGAATGTCCTATAGCTTGAAGTATGATTAAACGGGAAGCGCACTTGTTTTAGCAAGCACTACACATCATCACTGCTTCCTTGGATCAGCTTTGCTTGCATGTGTACTACCATCACCGTACCACTGCGTACCGCTTTGCAGGGTTTGCATTTAGAAGAAACCTTTCCTGAACTGCTTTTCCTGATTTTCTGCAAGCAGTTGAGTCAATCACAATATGTACAGAAACTTGTCCAAAAATAGATTTTTTAATGAAATCACTTCAACGTCGCCCCACGTAGTTAATATTACATATCACTTAACCTTGCCCTTCCGTCTCCCTCTCCATGCTTCTCAACCGTCTGTCTGTGCCTTATTTAGCTGCCGGAATCGTAGAGGTAGTATGATATCTTCACGTGATTTATTCACTTTGAAATTTTTTGAGTATGGCATCGCTTTAGTTGTCAATAGCCTCCTTCCAGAACACAATTGCGCGTGGTTTGGAAGACCCTTCATTGTGGGTCACATCCATCCAGCTGTTTCCAGTACACACCTTTTTTATTAGTGCTTGAATTTCGTCTTGATTTCAGTGGTTTTATTCAAATTGACTGTTAATAAAGATTTGTTCTAATTTTCATGACAAAAGAGACAACTTAAAAATCGCTGCCTGGCAGAGTAAGAAATCCCACTTATTTGGCAAAATGTAGGTTAGCGTTGTAGTCATTACTACGACTTCTTGTATTTCGATTCCCCAAATATTTTACCAAAACTACCGTGAAGTCTATCTGCAACAACATTGAATTGTCATAGAGCCGGAATTTTTATCCACATTTTAATTGAAATAATGAGGAAAATAATGGCCTTTGCATCTTAATTTCGTGCAAGATCTACCAAGAAGGTGACAAAAAGACTGGGATCATTCCGCATTTATGTAAAAACTGGGGCTATTGCCATCACTCTGTCCATTTTGCTACCTACTTGAGCACCTACCTCCGTCTCGACCTTTTCTCTTTGCCATGTGCTTGTTGGAGGTCTGCAGAGGCTTTGTGCCACCGCTTCCCTACCTCCTTGTCAGGTTCATCAAAGGCGAGGATTCTATGGGCATCCACCCAATCACCAGTTTCTTTGCAGAGTTAACTGTTCTGGCGCAAACGTTTCTATTCTGTCGCATTTTTTGCCCCTATCATGACTATATTGAGGTTTCAGCCCATTTACTCCTCCCTTATTCGCTCACAGAACCCATTCTACTTTGGGGTCTTCATCCTTTGGTTCTACCAAATATATCCAAAACCGTTTTTAATGCTGCAATGCAGTAGACCTCTTCTTCATCGTTATCTTGCATTATTCCTAGCTGTCACCCTTTCCTAGGCACTTGCTGTTTGTGATGAAATGGACTGAATTCATTTATTTCAGTGATGCTTCCTTTAACACAGCTTATGACTTCCACCAACTTTCTCCTCTCTACCCTGGGATCTTCAATCCAAAATGATTGCACTGAGACTTGAAAATATATCTCATCATACTTCTCACACCTCTGTTTCCTCCGATTCTGATTCCTTCGGTTTTAATGTTTGGTTCTTCTGCGCAAGTTACTTGAATCGAAATATGGTTGCATCGAGATGAGTGGACGACGCGTCGTCCAGTTTACTCTCTTATTTCACTCAGTCGTTGCTAGAAGCTCATTGAGGTGTCTCTTTCCACTTCTGACAACTTTCCTGTCTCCTTAGGTTTCTTAATCTAGCTTTCTTTTTGACTGCTTCTCCATCCGAGGCATTTGTTTTAGATGCAATGGCTATGGGAATGTTTGACCAACAGACGTCATTATAAAGGTCTCTGTAAATTTTTGTTAGTAGATTAATGCCAGGGTTGTATAGAATTGGCTTTTGTGGATATACATATAAGACAACTTCGGAGTTTTATAAGCAGTACCGTTTCCAGGTATAACTTGTTTTTCAAATCTGATGTCTTGTAGAACAATAAATTGGAATTATACCCAATAGTTTAATCGCTTGTATAACTTATCACTGATTTTTTATGGTTACTTGTGGCTCTGCCTCTGTAATTCTGCTGAACAACATGGGCTCTGGGCCATACACATAGCACTCAGCCCTTCCGTAATTCGGTAACACATCTTCCGCCCCAGTGCAATGACTTCTTTCTTCTTTAAGGATGGCTGAGGCTTCCGCATGTGTTTAATGACGTTATCATTTATAACAAAATCTTGCAATCTAGGTCATTTTCACCGCATCAAAAAATACCCGAAAGGGGCCTTCATTCGTTCGCTCTTGCGCATTTCCCCTTCCCAGGGTAATGTAACCTCTCACTAAATGGTTTGGAATGCGGATGAGAAGCTCTTTCCAGCATGGCGCATGACCCGCATCGACCTGTTCTTCATTGACTTGACGGTGGTGCAGCTGCATCGATGCTGCTGCGTGCATCATCTACCAACTCTGAGCAGACTTCTCCCACCTTTAGACCCTGATTTGGTGCTTATTTGCACTAGTGGAATGTTGCTCTCCGCCAGTGCTTTCTTCTACCATTCTTGTTGTGTCTACTGTCTTGTAGAGTCCCATAAAAAGCGGCGAAAGACGTGTGTTTAAAGATGAATATTGGAACCCTTGAAAGATTGATTGGCAGATGACACTTTGCAAACGGTTAAGTTGAAAGTTATTTACGGGCTCTACAACGAAGTAAAGTTGATTTATCTGAAGATATCTTTTAGTAAGGAACGTCTATTCTCAGGTGAGATCAAAATATCAATGCTATCGGTCAAATTACTTTTAAAAGACTTTGCATTATTGGTGGAATCCCTTATGTGATAGATTGAACCAAATCATCACTGGCCCCCTGTTTTCTTCCTGCTTCAGTGTTAATGGTTGTATTTGTGCCTTAACTTGATCTTGACCTAATCTACTTACAATAGTGCATGAGAACAGGCCACCTATATTGGTGTGTTATTAAATGCACTTACTGGAAGGCAGAAGAATTTTAGCGACCGATTTGCCTTGAACGTTGAATAAGGTAAATTGTGAAAGTCAACTAAATGTCCTGTCCGACGCGTACAAAAATAAAAAGGGCGTGATGTGATGTGTGGAATAAACTGGATTGTTTCTTTACGCATAGGATGATGATGGGTTGACTGTTAAAAGTGTAGCCCTTCGCAATCAGCTTGTAGCCTGTAATATCTCAGCATCCGAACAATTAAAATTACTATCACTATGCTATACCTTCCTTTGCGAACTTCAATCTTCTTTTTACAGAAGCCAACTTCACATTTTTGATGCCAAACTCATCTACAGATTCTTAAATGATGCATGCGATTTAGCAGTTCACCTCAAGTATATTCAAAATTGATGTTGGTAAAACATTAGTAAACCCTTTTTTTCTTTTCAGTGACGCATTTTTGCTGAAGAAGTTATGAAAGTAGTGATAGTGGAGCAACTGATGAGCAATTTATAGTGATATTAAAGAGGCATTTCACTTCCACATAAAATGGTAGGTCCAGATAGCGAATAAACATTTCTCATTAATTCATAAATATTCCTTTTCAATAATCAAAGATATCTGAAAGCTAAGTCCATGAGAGGCATCAAGCCTGCTTCGAAGTCTAGACCACTTTTCGAACTATTTGACTATTGTCAAAAAGGAGCATTCGCTTCTTGTCTAAACGGATCATATGGTCTGTTAGGAGAAGTGTTTTAAGTATTGAGATAAAAAAGATAATTTGATAATATGCTTTTGCTTGGTACCTTCTAATCACAGCAAAGTCCATTCCAGGTTCAAATATACTTCAATATAAAACGATCCTGTAAAATTTGCAATAACTTTTTATATTTAATAGAAATTTTAATTACATTTCAAAAGGGTTCGATTATAGATCTAAAAGAGGAGTTAATAAAAGATCGAAAGGAGCTTTATAAAGGCACTTTAAATGAAATTCAAAGGGGAAAGTAAATGACCAGAAAGAAAGCGAACTTCAGCTAAGGTCGAACTACTCCAGCTAAAAATATTATCACCCCTAACTGGATGTCGTCAATTAAACTAAACTAATGGCTCTTACCTAAAGTCAACTTTGAATAGGACAAGTATCAAGTTACACAGCAAATGCATTTGCACTGCACCAGAAGGGCAGTATCAAGAAGCCATAAAAAACTCATTTCTGACGTAAAACTAAGGTCTCGAATTTCTCACAGCGCCACTTGATCAAAGTTAGAAGTGGAATTCTTTAGCAAGCTTGCAGAGTCTTTGTGAATTTTGGCTTCACTATAGCATCAAATGACAACAAGTTGGGTTTAAAATCGGTCTGGCAGATCACAAATACGATCCATAACGTCTCACAGAGAGGGGGAACCTTTTGATAAGGTAAGCAGATTGGTATGCTTAACCCAAATAGGTAAATACATCAGTAGGGAGACGAGCACTCCATTTTACCAAACTGAGTGCTCAATTCCAGTTTCCCCTGTTTGTGCGTGCGGTTTTTAGAGACTCTTAGGGTGTGGGAGCTTTCTGACGTCGAGAAACATTGGTCTTTAATATCCGACTGCCAAGAGTGAATACGTGAGGCCATTAGCTCTCTCAGACCTTTTTGTACAAATAAGAATGCAGGTGGGAAGGCGAACACATAAGCGTTTAGTAAATCGGCCCCCTATCTAAGAGTTACCGCTTTAGAATGTTCTCATAATATTAATTTAACAGGTTGAACAAGTCTAATTTTTCTCAGATGAACCAAATTTGAAGGGTGACACCATCTAGGCAATCCACTGGCTATCCTTTTCCATTGTGATTTTGCATAGTCCCCGCTCCAAACGCATTTTCAGTCTGTTATTGCTTTTAATTTATTAAATAAATCAGGTTATGAAACAAACGAACATATAAGCAGGAAGTTTAAAAGTCCGAGTTTTTAAGCACGAAATGCAAGTAAAGGGTATTCGATTGCCCAAGGCACGCATCTTGTGAATCCATAATTCCTTTCGGCCCTTTTTCATTGCACTCTGTTAAACTTAGTCTACAAATGTACATTGTCGTGATTTTAAAATTGCGCTTCAGCGTCATGATGGTTAATTACGTCTATTTGAAATCGTATTCACCGTGTGTAACGGGATCATTTGCTGCTAGGTGGTACTTTCCTTTACTGTACCTCTTTCAAGAGTCCCATGTTTAGATTGATGAAGAGCTTTTGCAGTGTTGAAATTGAGTTAGACGCGGCTTGTAAGACAGAGCGGCTTAAATCACAAGTATCAGTCCTAACAAAGATTCTATGGTATGAAGTAGGGTTAGAATGAAGAGTGAAATAGTTTGAAACACAATAGAGAGTACCGTGCCCGAACAATCTTCGCATAGCTGTGCATTTAAACAATCACATTTATTTTGCTAGTCCCCGCAAGTTACAATAGCTCACTGTAGTGGGGTGTACCACAAATGATACGAAGTTTTTAATAGTTTAATATTTACGCAGTAAGTGCTTTCAAAAATGCACTCACACATGACTTAAGTGGCGTCATTTACATTTACATTCTTGCAGTGCCATGATCAGAGGGTGCATTCTGAACTGCAAAGCTGTTGAGATGTTGAATGTATTGAAGGGATCAACGGACTGTAGTATGCAAAGGTTTTTTACTCCTTAAAAAGCTCCTCATGTATTTGTAGGCACTTGTGGTACAAGCATATATCTTTATCAATTACACAAGCGAAGCATTTTCAAACTCGGATTCAGCAAATCAGAGTCAAACGTAGACAAATATGATAAAGTACATCTAACAAATTTTAAAGGTCGAATGGCATACAGAAAACTTAAAAGAAGAAATGTGCATTGTGGTGTTCAAATCATGCCGAGTCGGTACCGATTGTTCTGTTCCAGAATTTGAGGGTCAGTTATGTGAGATCAGTGTTAAATGGAAATGTTTACGATTCGCTTAAGAAGCACTTAAACAACGTTATAGCAAACCTATATAATGAATGCCAAATTAAAAGTTAATATACGATGAAAACCCTTATGCTAGATCACCCATTTCTAGGATCCACATTTGATGTCAGTAACAGGAAACACTCAAAACTCTGAAACTACTGAGTCTGCGAGAATCTAGGAATTCCAGTTTGTTTCCGCGCATCAGTCCTTAAGCAATTGCTTATTGTTATTTAATATCTATTTGCAACGATAGGTCGGATGTACTGGAGACAGGGTTCACACAAATAACAAAAGTGCGGAAACTATTCTCTAGTTTTGCGAGCTACTTGTCTAAGTTACTGGGGTCTTTTAGAGAAAATCATCTTTGTCGACGCTCATGGAGGCCATAGTTTTTGTAAGTTTTGCAAAATAGTTAAAGAAAATAATTACGTCAGCCCCATCGCTGACTGATATGATGGGTTCAGTGAGTCTCAGCTGCAACCAGCGTTCAAAAAATAAAAGTTACTGATTTATTGTTAGTAAAAAATCAGCTATCTTTGTAATCTGATTACGCCACTGCCATAATCCTTTACCTTTCTTGAGGGGATCTCATTTTGGCAAAATATCCCAGCATATAATTAAATGAACCACTAAACCTCTTCATAAAGACAAAAAAGTCAGTAATTTCATAATACAATGCTATCTCAATGGTCAAAAATTGTTGAAAATAAGAAGCGTTTGTCACCTCAATTTGTTCCATCAAGGAAAAAAATCAGCTTTTGCTGGTAACTTTGTTTTCCCGGTAATTGGTATCTAGTCAAAACCTTATCAAACCTTAAAATACACCAAAATGAAGAAATATACGGTAATCAATTTTAAATAATATTAAAAACAACCAAGAGTAAAGTATACTGCAACATTAGAAAAGTCAGTGCAATTGAACAGAAACCTTCTGTGCGAAATAAGCCAAAGAAAGTGCATGATTTTTGGTGCTTTTTGTTAAGAAAACATCAAATCTTAGTCAGGTAGAGCGACTCTTATGCTGAATCATGTTTGGTAAAAGTAAAAAACAAAACACTTCTGTTGGCAATTTCCGACTGCTTTGAGATTAATCGTGTAACGAAGACCTTTATTAGCATGTCGTGTATTACGGTTTAAATATAATTAGTCTCACCAGAACTTTCTGCTAGGAAACTGTTCACCAACTAGACCCATGCTTTACCAGTTGAGTCAGATCCTGTTCGAGTTTAAATTACCTCTTCACGTTTCTGCAACTTCTAGATTCTATTACCTATTCCACTCATCACTATCACTTTGTTTATACCTAGAGCCTGTGCAAGCAAAAAGTTCTACTTTCTATGGAAAAAACTCAATCATTATTCACAACATGCTGCAAAAAAGAGAAGAGGATCAACTTACTAAATGAAAATGTTTCAGCATGAAAAAGCATAGCTATTTTGACGCATGCACTGACCAAACAATAGACCATTGATTTCTCTGAAAAGAGACTAACGCAAAAAAAAAACAGTTGCAAATGCTGGTGGTCTTTAAAGCACAGAAAAAAACAACTGTTTTTTCATGGTATGAAACGATGCTCAAGCTTAAGGACTTCATGTGACAAGTTATCAATCCCATTTAAAAGTGACAAACTCGACAAATGAAAGATGCTTAAATACTTTCTCAGAATTGACTAAAAGAATTTAAAAGAAAAATCCCGTAAATGCTATTTTACCATAACAAAGATTAGGCTCAATGGACGTATACTTTATAGAATTCCATCGGGTTTAATAAATTTTAAACCCTAATATTTGTATGTAAGTAGAGGATTATACGGCTAGTTCCCTGATCAAACACTTGTTGAGTATGTCAGAAATAATTTGAACCGTATAGTACCTCTGAGAACGAAATGACTTCATACCTCATTTAGTGAGTTTAACTCACGAACTGAAAGTAGTCATAAACAGTCTAGACACGATAAAATTGTAGCGAAAATCAAGCCTATGTCGCCAATCGCGTTGGGCTTTTGGATTATTGCCAGAGAATACTTGGTCGATGGAATAAAGAAAAGCTTAGGTATCGTGAGAAGGAGCCTGAGATCATGTATAGATATTGTTGGCTACTTCCACGATTAAATTTACAGATATTTATAATCTACTATAAACAAACAATATGGATGAATAGGGCTAACCAGTCGTTTAATAGTACAAGCCGGATATATTATACCAGAGGAAGTGATAAAATCCTCCTGAACCATCCCTAATAAATACAGCAAAAGCGAAACATTTTTTTCAGCACAGAAATTAACTCCACGTTCGCATACCTTCTGCCTTCTTAAATGTCAGTTCACGCAAGTGGAGGTTTGTTTTTTTGTTAATTAGCACAATGATCAACAGCTAGTAATCATGGCTGAAACATTACACGAAAAATCGTAACCATATGAGTTAAGTAATTATGGTCATAAACAATTGAAATCGATGTTGACGGGAAATGCTGGGCAGTCGAAGAAGGCCCCTTTTAATATTCAATTCCCGCACTACAAGATTATGGAACTAAATACCCTTCAAAAATGGACTGTGTTTGATTTGTTAATAAAAAACAAAATATCTATGCGCACGTAATCGAAGTATCCATTTAACCGCTAAAAGGGGTCGCATTTGCAGTGCAATGCTTGGCTAATGAGTTGCATGCTGCAATCAATAATTGCCTGGTACCGAAACAAATTATCCGCTCGTCATCGATCGATAGTCAGCTGTGGTGGTCTTTTACAAACGCACATGACGAGGCGATCGATAATCAGCTGTTAGTTACAGCTGCCTAAGGCGAGAACGAAGAAGTCGGCATTATCGATAGGCATTCAACTGTTAATTGAATTAATAGGCTTAGATGCCCTTCATTATGCCCGCAGAAAGGCCGACCTCATGAGACCCTTCAAGCGCAGTTGTTGTAAGGACAAATTTACGTCCATTTTTTCATGAAAGAACAGGAATTTGATTGTTACAAACATGTGGTAAAGGCGACGCCGTTTTGTGGAATTCGTAAGCACTATTCTGTCGGTAATTTGAAGTGCTCTAATTTAGGGACAAACATGCACTTTAAATGGAGCCTTGAAAACAACATTTCTTCATAAATTAAGGGAAAATGACTTATTTTGGACTAACAATTTTTGGTACATTTTGTATCTTCCTTAGTAAAGGAATTGGCATGAGATTATGCACTACAACTTGATATATCTCAGGAGGTCAGAGAAGTTCATGTGATTTTGATGTAGTTCATTGCAATGAGTTGTTTTAACTTGTTATGACTTGCAAAACGCATGCTAGTTTTTAAATGCATGCATCATGCAACATCATCAAGCGCCGGTCTCTGCATTGTCCAGACTAGCATTCGCTTCTTCATAAGAACACAAACGCATACCATCAAATACTGATTAAAACTGATGGCTGTGAGGTGACCCTACCTGCTTTACGGGTCGCGTTTAACTCGACCCGAATGTAAAAGATGTTTTTCGTCAAGTTTTGTATGCAGGGGATGGAAAAACGTACCATTCAAATTCAAATGGTTTAATCGATTCGGATGATTGCGGTTGAATCTAAGACTCTACGTGAAAAGGAGCCACATGCCATGAATTAAAACAAGATGATAATCAGCTTGAAAGACTGTTTGTTTTTCACTTTTTTCACATAAGTCATAAAATCATGTCTTGCATTTCAGCCTGTTTGCTAACTGAATACCTGATCGACCAGTTGATTGGGTAGCCTGTGACGTGAAGTGGCTTTTATGCGTAGTGAGACGTTGAGTCAACGAGCGCACCATTTGCTCCTAACTTATCCTCACACTTCCAAGGTAAGCAAGGCTTTATCCTCAAGTGACTATGTCGAGCTCTATCTACCTACTGTAACTCAGTACAACTCGAAAATCTGCAAGACAAACTCCTTCTTGATAAAAAGTCGAAAATAGTCAGACAGTCAATGAGTGGAAAATCTGCGTCCCATCCTTACAGGACAGCTCGGAACAAGACTTTACACCTCATATCGCTGCATAACTAAAATGTGGGAAGAGTTGTACTTGAGGATGAAATAGGAGAGAGGTACTGTACTTTTCCTCATCCTTCGCATTCCCATGGTAATAATTGGCCAGGTAATAGTTTCCGCCTTTTCTCAGCATTGCCATTCAGCAATAGCATGAAAAATAGAATAGAGAGATGCAAAATTAAAGTGCAACAGAAGTGGGGGTTACTTGACGTAAGGGATTTTAAGCATTTAAAAACGACTAAAATATTTTCAGAAATTTTCAGAAATTCCTTACTTGTTACTAATAATAATCTCAAGAATTTACGTGGTTGCTTACAGTGTAATGCTTTATTACCCTGGCGCTACGAGGGATATTTCAAACTATGAGGGGTCATCCTCATGGTTACGAAATGGCAATTAGAAACTGCTAATTAGGAAGTCTTGGTAGCGTGGAGATCCGTTAAAACTAGCAGTTCATTTCAAGATCCACTTGAACTAATAAAGCCACTAAAACTATTATCTAACTGTCCTAAAGTTTTAATGGAAGTGTCCCCTAAACAAGCCTTGCTCTAACTTTACTCATGGCGACCCAAATCTACCAAGTCAGATAAACATAAAATGCTAAGGCGGGAAGAGGGATTGTGCATGCAAGTGATAAGCGGGAGGGAAGGAATTGATGAATGAATCATCAGTGGGGATGCTAAAGAGTAGATGAAATAGTTACTCCAAATTCGCTCAGCCAGAGGCTGACTAATGGACACAGCCAAAGTCAGCTAAGCACGCCGTGCTAGCCACCCTCCTAGTGTTTGAGTCTTCTACAGCAACGTCGAGAATCACACTAACGAAAGGCAAATTAATTTTAATAGGTAACATACTTTTTCAAAGCCAAAATATATGACTGAAACGCGTGAGGACAAAGTCAATACTGTAAGCGGGATGTACTTTGGTGTGACAATAAAAGGTCTCCACGAGATTACCAACCTGTTCCTTCGTCGTAACACTGCTTAATGATACGGATAATAGGAATGATATAAACTCTGTAATTCAGTGTTAAATATAATCGTTCTCTATGTTCCGTGGTTCAAAAGCCACACCACCTGCCTGCAAAGCGAAAGTAAGAGGTTGACGGACTAACCAATCAGAAATTAACAAAAGAAGGTGGGCGCGCCAAAGTCAAATTTCGGTGTGCGGGTTTGCGCGATGATTCAGCAGAAAGGGGCGGGATTAGCAAGAGGTAATAACATTGCCCGTGAGGTAAGGACGTATGCGTGTGTTTACGCACGCAGTTGCAACCGCCCTAGCAACTGCTGTGGCGGTGATGACAACAAAGGCCTGCCGTGTTTGAATTTACCGAAACCTCCCAGAGGAGTTACCAACTTTGTAAATGTGCCAAAAGGCGAACGAGTGGGAAGTAGAAAAAGGAGGAGTTCGATCGCTAAATGAAATAGTGGATAGTGGCATTACAGGTGGGCTGACGAAATGGCATAAGCTGTCTCTGATTAAGTGCATTTAACGCAACGCCTCCAAAAGGTAGATTTGATTGGACGTGGTCAAATCTCGACAAATAGACAAGTAACCCTTGTTGCCTTAAATCCCTTGGAGTTACTGAAACGAATTCAACAAAAATACTAACAATTTCGCACTAAGTGCGCAAATAACAATAGAATCGAATGAGACCTGACTACAACGACTAGAATTAGTTGATTTTTGGGATGTACCCATTAATCTCGTGATGACAATGCTTCTAGGATGCCAAAAGAATATGGCAAATAATATGGATGTCAGCAAAGTGCAGTGAATGGTTTCTTTCCTGCCTAGAACACACCTGTTTCCGCTTTTGATACGATAACTTTTGAGAAAAATTTTACCCCTTTCGTATCACAAGGTGTTTCACATATGTAATTACAAATCCGTTACAACTATTTTGTGTTTATTTCTCATACTTAAGATACAGCTATTGTACCATAGTGTAATGGGGCTTAGTTTTGTTACTTACCGGCAATAAAAATATATGCTATTTAAATTGCTTCACATGTATCTATCACCTTTGGTGAACTCATTTATGTGATTATTAAGCCAAATCGGCATTCAATCTTTCGGTGTTTTAAGTGGGAACGAGGTATTGCTGATTGTGGTCGTATTGTGACTGACCTTTACATAAACCTCTTCACGATCAGTGCCTATGGAAGATTTAGCCAATCAAATACCTCTGACTAAACGAATTCGCCATTCAGATGAATAACTCATACAAGAATAGTTTTCACAATTCCCTCATCATTATTATGAATAGGCGAGTCTATCCGCTTTCAAGCTCCAAATTAAAGTAACCAATTGCAACAGCAAATCTGATTCAGTACGTTGGTGAGGATGTGAAATCGTCTAATCAAGGCAAAGCGGTGCATAAATTCACTTTTAAGAAATAGAAAACTTAGTAAAAGAGGCCTCAGTTATATTCAAAATGCGTTTGAAAGCTAGATATATGTATCCATCCTTCACTCCGACCACACTTTATGATCAATGTAATGTGTGGATGATTAAGGTAATATCTCACCTATAGTGCTTAATCAACTAATAATCATTCAAAGCATTATACTTTTGAGTTCCAACTAGGGCGCTTTCAAACGGGATTTAGCGTTCCTACAGAATAACGCGACATTTAAGAGCCATTTTCAAGCAAAAGATCAGCATAACCTCCAAATTCAGGTCTTTTCTTTCCGAGGAATATCGCCTCTGAGCCTGAAAAGATAATTATATATTTATAGGAACTTGGATCAAGTAGTGAAGCTTGGACACGAAATCAAAAGTCCTCATACAACGCAGTGTTCTGTATCGAGAAAAGGATGGTTAAGTAAACACTAGTAGTAAAGTCACTGGAAGTAGAGGGAGCAGATGCTTCGGTTTTAAATCCGTCTTTCTCGCCATTTCAAGCGCGGACAGACCTGGAGCTACGGATATTAATGGTTATGGCCAGGATAGCCAAGAATCTGGGGATGTGACTCATCCATAGGTCAAAAATATGCTTGAAATGGCGAAGCAGAGAACACATAACTCATGCGCGCAAGCCCGCAGATGCACAGCGGCATCACAACTGCCGAACTAATAAGTAGACGCTGGCGATTGAGCAGATGAAGGGGAGATTTTAGGCTTTGCCTTTCCGAGTCATAAATAAAACCAATTTCTAATTTTCAGATCGCCAATAACTACCTTAACCTCTCCACAACCAAATTAGAGTCAGAACAGGCAAAATATTTAAGACTTCCTTGAATATGGAAGGTTTGCTACTTGTCAAAAGTCTTACCAACTGCTAGTTCAGATGATATAGTTGCTGAAGATTTCAGATAATGTCAAGTTATTATGAGAAAAGGAATAGGAGGAAGTATTTACTACAAGTTTATTTATGAAAGCCATTAAATGGGTGGGAATTATAAGCGTTTTTAGGAGACCTCAGTTCCACAAATGATAAAAATGCAGGCAGTTCGGGTAATAAACATAGAATTCTGTGCAAAATACTGTGACAATTAGAAACGGGTAGACGGTCTCCTTGACCTAAGCCTTCAAGATTGAATTTTATCAGGTGATCGAAAAGTTCGCACGGCTGTCCACACATCTAATTGCAATGGCCTGCACCTGGTCGGGACTTGCAAATTCAAACAATCGTTTAGATGCATGCATTGTACACCGTAGACATACGTTTGTCCGTCGAGTCCGGGACTCATCTTAGTGCGGGCTGCCACTTTCCTCCCCATTTGATCCCAACGTCATAGCATAAGGTGCTGGCTGAACCAAATGGCTGGGATTCGAGCCTGTCAACTTTACGAATCCAACTTGTCCCATCTCTAACGTCGAGAAGGGATTACAGCTTGTCACGGTAGTTATTTCGGTGAATATGTCCATAAGCTTTTTGCGTTTAATATGTATCAATGAAAATATTTTTAGCCATCAGGCTACCACCCAAATAGAATTGACATACGAGTTATGCCAGAAGTTTAGGAATTCAGCTTGACATTTGAAAAAATGTGTGCTAAAAGAATGTTCATTATGTTCTGAATGGAGACCTTTATTTGCCAAGAATAAGCTAACTGCTTGGAATTTTGGAAATAATCGTTTATTTTCTTACAAAATTGTGTTTAGTTTATAATGTGTTCAATTTCTATTCCTGTACTTCAAAATTTTACGATCTTTTAAAGTATAAGTCAGATAATTATTGGGTTTTAGGCGTGGAAAGGCCTCGATCGCCTAAAAATAGTAGCAATTGTTATCCATTTCTAAATAATGTAGATCTGTTGCTAACAGTAAGAAAGATCAGGCTCGTTCAGCTAATTGAAACTGACTGTTTCATGACGTTTAAATGTGAAACCTTAGTCATCATTGGTTTGTATTGCACATTGGATCAGAATTGATGAAGATACAGGCCAATTGTTGCATCACTAGCGTCAAACATGACTGAAAGTTGTTTTTGCTGCATTAATCTCGAGCTGACGCGTCACTAGCGATACGTAGTCCTTCGGGATCGCTAAGGCTAGGGAATCTTTCCAGTCCCTCTTTGAATGATTCTATAGTGCTCCGGAAATTCCATGAACACAAAAAGGCATAGCACTTGGACAGAATATGTATTGCCGACGTAGAGAAGGCCTGAGAACTACTGGCATGCCAGGCCAGGCAGAAATACCATCGCGGAGCGCTCAGTGTCTACGAAGCCAAAACAGAGTTAAACAAATAATCAAAGCAATAAAATTCATTATCAAAACCGTTCAAGTCGTTTAAAGCGTTTGCACCTCATCTAGGTGCTACGTAGTGAACTTGACTAGGTGCTTCTAAAACACGGGAATGAAGTCAACCTAGATTCGCAAAGTGGACAGGATTGAAGCCCGGCCATTTGGTTCAATCAGCACCTTTTGGTATGAGGTTGGGCTTAAATGGGGAGGAATAGGGTAGAGCGTACAATGTTGAGTCCCGTGCTCGATGGACAAACGTAAGTTCATGGCGTAAAATACGCAGGCATAAATGATTGTTTGGATTCTCAAGTCTCGACCAGGTGCAGATCATTGCAGCCAGCTGTGTGGACAGCCGTAGGAACTTTTTGGTCACCTTATAATCGCCGATTTTGTCAGCTCCCTTAAATTCCCATTTCTAATAAAAATTTCGCACTTGCTTTGTTTACATAAGTGCTAGAACTCCCCTTGAATGGGTGAAAATGGTATATCTACACGAGCCTGAGTTTAATCTTGATTGGAGTCTGTACGAAAGATGCGAGCTAATGATTTGGGAGCCTGCTATCCACAGGTAGGTAAACGATCTACCTAGACTTGCACCTTCACAATTGAGTTCTCTACATATGTAACTTTTAGGTCATTATTCACATTCAGACATCAAAAAAGCGATTAATTGTAAATGACGGATAGTTCAAAACAGTTTAGACCTATAAACGGGAAATGTCCCGACTTCAAGTCTCACGTTTTCATTGAAGGTCCAATTAGTAGGACTAAACAAAACCACCCCTTAGTAATCGTTTCCACTTTTATTTCGAAGGCAAAATGCTTCCAAAACTCATGTGAGAAATATTCCATTTTCCACCTAGCGTAGTTCTTGATATCGCATTACGACTTGGTATAGGATTACTTGATCTAAATTCCTCTACCTTAAGATCAATCAACCTTCTGGCTTCTAAAAAAAGTATTAAAAAACAGGCGCAATGAGAACAGGGTCAAGAAGAAATTATAATACATTTGACAGGTTGAATAAAAGCGCTCATTTTGCATTCAGATTTTCAGTGCGGTTGAACTAGACGATTCCGAGGCTATTTATTAGAGAGCCTGCCTCCAAAACTACATGAAAAAATCAAGGTCTAGAATACACAATGAAGATTTAAAGTTAATAAAGAAGGAGAACGGGTGTGGCAACATTGGATGTGCTTTAATCATGTAAAATGGCGCTCATTAAACAGGCATTCGAGGCCCAAGTGCCTACCA